AATGTTGCTGTCAGTTTATCAGTTGAATCACCTGAAATTCCAAGTGCAGTTCCAACTGAGATTCAATCTACGAATCGCTCTAAGCGATCTAGGTTCGAGAGCAAAAAAAAGGGTGGAGCTGCCACAATCAGAAACCAGATATCATGCCTAATGGATTCTTCCAATGATGCCCCCCATAAAGTACAGAAAACATCAATTAATGAGGTCGTGGCTATTCTAGAGCAGGATCCGAGTATTGCAGCGGATGATGGGCTTTACTACTTCGCTGTTGAGCTGCTTCAAGATTCGGTGCAAAGAGATTTTTTCACAGCTATTGCCAAAGAGCGCAGGGTGTCGTATCTACGACATTTTTTTGAGTGCAAGAAAAATTAAATGGACTTTTTTTAGTTGCTACGTCCTTACTTTAATAGTTTATGAGAAGACATGGTTATTTGAACTGTTGTTTAATGAGACTTTTCAGTTTATTTTGTTTTCTACCCCTCCTCTACACTAAATGCTTGTGTTATTACTTGTCACATGTTAGATTATATAGGTCTGCTCCAAATGATGATTAGTTTAATACTCTATTTTTCTTTGTCAAAATATGTCCAGTATAAATCAGAATGGACCCAAACCAAGTACGTCGTAGAAGGAGAAACGCAGCTATCAACTTGCTCGTAGAGTACTACAACACATACATCGACCGTTCCCCCTGTTACACATCATCACAATTTGGAGACAAATGGGTAGCAGAAATGCTTGGCGGGTATCCCACAAGATTTCACAACATGTTCCGCATGACACAAGAAGTTCTTACAGATCTTTTAGCAGAACTAGTGGGCTCTCATGGCCTCCATGGGTCTATGAGAATGACTGACCGTGAGTAGTTCCATTTGGTGTCTGGAAGAAGAAATGAGTTATCTTCCGTGATATGCCTCCTTACCCGTTTCCAAAACAGGTTCATATTGTGATAGCAACGATGACAATACACAATTATATTAGGCGACACCCGTCGCGACATGACGTTGATTTCCTCAATGCTGAAGCAAATCAACGGGAAACAGTTGAAGACTCCTCTGACAACCAAATGAGTAGTTCTATGTTACGAGATGACAGCGAACAATTAACAATTTGCAATAAGGAAGGAGAAGGTGCAACTGAAATGGCGGCCATTCGAGAACAAATTACTAATGCGTTAGTTAATATGTGATTCAATTGCAGTTTGTTAGAAAGAGCAAATAATTGCAACGTACGAGTATTGGGTAGTAGAAGTTACTTTATTGGCACTGGTGATGTAATAAATAACTATTTTTGATGATTAAAGCGTTTAGAATATATGTTTCTAAATTTAAAACACTTTATATAAACTTATATGTTTTCAAAATTAACATGGATAATCTTATATGTTTTCAAGAGTTAATATTTGTATAGATCGATACATAGATTAATATAAATTTTAAGCTTATATGTTCTCAAAAT